GCATTTTTACATTGATATGTTTAAATTAGAACAATTTAGTGTTAATATGGTATTATGTGAATATAAAAAATTGAATTTCCGTGTGCTATGCGACACTGGCTAAATATATATATATCAATTATTTGCCTTTGAACTATAATTTCAGAACCAATTTTCGTATTGTATTCGATGCAGTGAAACACAATAAAAACGTTGCCCTTTTACAACATACGCGGCATATAATGGCCATACAACTCTAAAATATATTTATAGTATAATGCTCTTAATCTGAAAATAGAAATAACTGCGATACTGTGCAAAGCTATGTGTAGACATGTATTATCTTTAGAATATTTTTTTTTTTCAAAATCATACGAAAATTGTCTGTGTTCGTTCAGAATCACGGCCATTAATAACATAAGGGACGTAATACGCTATTTCTACATCGTGTTGAAATTGATCCAAATATAGACATTGATCAAAAGAACAGTGAATTGGTGTTGTATGCTACCGTTTTAAAGGAAATCGATATAGAATTTAAAGAAGGGAAAGTAGAGACCTACGCCGCTTACTTGAAATTTCAGTAGGTACATTGCTGCTTTACGTTAGGGAGAATGACAAAGTTGGAGATATATCCATTGGCTAAAATTCAAATCTCTTTGTTCGCCATTATCTGTTACTCCTGTTTTGTTTTCCATTGTATTTTAAACACAGCGACATCCACCATGGCTATCAGCTACAGCGAAAGCCACAAGAAATAGCTTTTTCGAAGCTATCAGACATTGATACACTATAGTACATTACATGGATATAGTTGGAAAATGTTTTCATGTAAAATCTGAAATACATAATTGCTGAACAATATTTTAATTTGTTCCGACCTGAATGAATTACGTTTATTTATATTGAACAACTGTTCTGTTTTCATTGCAATCGTAAAAATATCGCCTGTTACCGAGTGAATAAAATAACACCAACAATTTCACCGATATTTTAATCTGAACACTTTAGTAACTCGTGATATTTTCACTCCTATACCAATAGAAATTAATAGATACCATATTTCATATACACTTGTTGCCAGGTGTTTATAATGTACGAGCGCTTTGTGATATTGGCTAAATATGCAATATGGAATATAACAATTATTTAAATTAGAACTACTGCAGGACCCCGTATAATTCTCGATACAGTTAAAACGTTGATATTCTACTGAATACGTTACGTTTACTGGAAGTACCACTGTAATAGAACTATAATATAATGCCCTTAATCTAAAAATAGAAATAAATACGCTACTGCGCAAAGTAATGTGTAGACGTGCATAATCTTGTGAAAAGGTTTCCATTTATTTCAAAGTATATTCAAAATATTTTATTATGTATGCAGACGGGATTGTTATGATTAATTTTGTGAAATGTACATTCCAATGCGGAATGACGCGTTACTTTATCACGAATAATCTAATGATTAACAGTCAATTTTGTCTTGACAAATATTAAATACTGATCTAAATGGTTATTAAAATCAGTACAAACCAGACAATGTACAAGTTGGCGCCACTAGATTTCTTCCGTCGTATAGCAATTATATAGATGACATACTTTGATGTAGTTGCCGTGATATTTCTTGAGAGAGCCTATTAGTTTTTGAGTTGTTTTTTATTCGGCGCATAGTACATGTGTAACATATTGTAAACTGTAATACATTTTTGCACATAACGCATAATCACCGGGTCTATTATTGCCGTCATCAGTGCCTTGAATTAATGTTTTGTAAAATAGCATTCCAACTACACAAAACGAAGATTTACAAATATTATACCAGCTGCACATCAACTTGACACAACTTGGAAATCCTAGTTGTGTTCTGAGTTTCATTGTGCTTGTTTATAGGAATAATGCATTATGGTTGTCAATCTACGGAATGTGGTAACAAACGCAAAGGCCGTCTATTTAAATACATGTTTTCCTCGTACTATCGTACAACACTTATATTGCTCTCGACGAACATTTTTTATTTGTATCGATCCTTTTCATGGCGAATTATCCACAATCTTCAAGTATCTTTTATGGTTATATTGCATCACAAATCTCCCCGTAATTTTTCAGCAGCTTACGCAAGGATTTGTTGTACATGTTCGTACGACAGATTTTTATTTACTTTTCAGAACGTAAAATACTTGAACAGAGCATTACTTAAAACGTTTACATTGATATCCGAGGCAGCATATTCCTTGTATTTAAACGGAATGTAATATTCAAAAGTCCAAATGTTTCAATTAGAACAAATTCTTTGTGAAACCAAATATTAAAGATGTAATATTAGCTCGAACCGAGTGAACCAAGTTACTGTCTCACTACTTTCTGAACTCATCTATAGTAATTATTTTGGCAGCTTAAGGATTACCACCTCTATCGGCACATGCTGAGAGACCGTCTGAGCGTAGTTATTATCAGCAATTTAATTGATGTTCACATTATAGATTTACAACTATCGACATTATGCATATTTTATTTTTGGACCACATTGTTACAGACCTATACTGAAAACGACAAAAGAGGGTTTTGTTCTGTTCGAATGTTAAAAGTACGTCCACGCATATTCAACGATTGCGAAACTACGTCCGGAATTTTTCGCACATTTTTGTGATGTATGGTGATCTAAAATAAACAAATTCCATGCGAGTCAATTCGATTGAAGATGACTCAGTAGCTAAGCTCTCTGCATAATTTCTCTTTTTTTAAAAGTATCGTCAAGAGAGGACCTCTCTTGAAAGCAAGTAAATATCGATTAGATTATGGCTCTGTTTGCTGGGGAAACAGAATTTTCTAAAATATTTAATCACTTACAACTCAAAAGATATAGGCGAAATTAGGATTTGAGATATAGCAAGTCAAAAATTAAGGAAACAAATGTATTGATTCGACAAGTCCAAAATGGGGACATTTTCGATATTAACAAGTCGTTTCAAAATTCGTTTCAGTTTAAAACTCGCTTAATATTTAACTCATGAAACGATGTTGTCAGACGAAATCTAACTGAACTAAAACTTATGGTATAATTAGTAACTTGTTATCATTGATGTCACGAGGTCACAGGGTAAAATATTAACCAAAAATGCTAAATAGTAAGCAATACGTTTACTACCTCGTGTGCGGGTTCTTAACCAATATAAAATTACACAATTCGTGGAACACAGGTATAATTTAGACTGATGGGCTCCAGTAGTGTTCAATATGAGTATATGCACATATAAGCAGCAATAATGCACACCGGCCAATCTTACCCTTACGACACTACACATAAATTACGTGAAACCATGGTTTATTAGGTACACAAAACATATACTTGCTACAGTTCTCTCCGTCGGTATCGCCCGTCCTTACAGAGGTTCATCACTACACGCGGCCCTCACCACGCACCAACGCAACTACTAGTATGTTATTGGTAAGAGGCGGGGGTTACGATATTTCACACTGTAGACACCACAGCAAAGTCGGTAACGATCCTGTGACCATGGTAGGAACGGCGTACCCTACTAATCACGTATATCCTAAAATGTTGCATAAATAAACTGGCCAGGAAAATAACAATTCTAAAAATTAACAAGATAATATAACTTAAACCCAAGACTAATTAGTGTGTGTGTAGGAATGTTCGGTACCTGACGTTTCCAGACGTGCGTCGAACAGTGTCAGTCGGCAGCGTCGCCAGGTGAATTATAAGAAGCCAGCGACTGTAATTAGCGACTTGAACTCTCCCTTCTCGTCCACAGCGCCAAGGCTTCCTTCCCAGTTAGAATTCAGACTGATGTTCAATGGCGGGTTCGACTATGGTTACCGTAGTATGCGGTAGTACTGCTCGCTGTTTCCAGGGTCGTACAAAGTGTACATGTCGGTCATGATCTCAAGCAGCAACAACCGAGCACCACGCTGTCTCCGTTTTTAAATACCCTGCTATCACATGGCTAATTGTGTCAATCGCTAATTGGTCCGCGACACCTGTTCATTCATCACATAGATACTCGTCCAGCAGTGTTCAAGTGCGACTTCGATGTCAAATAATAGGTACTTTCTGTACGTGTAGTGACAAATGCTGCTACCTACTGGGCTATAAAACCTACCTCTGGGCTTTTGTCAATTTATACTATAACAATGAATTAATAAATATAACATTACATAATAACAAGCGTGTTCTTTTAATAATATAGTTTCTGATATGATTCAAACACCTCGTGACATACCCCCATGATGTAACCATGCCATTAAATATGGTATTATGGTTATGTCAACAATACAATTCATTGAAGTCACGGATCAGGTAAATTACATATAACAACAATTTACTATATTAAATGCAACACCATATTGGCTATTGTACTAAAACCTCAGGATTTCTGCTTAAATAATCTCCCCCTAGGTTATGATTACCCTTTATACTAATTATTCGATAGAAGAATGATTGAAGATATATAGCCCATCGCATAATTCGACTATTAGAACATTCAGCGGTTTTCATATAGACTAGAGGCTTGTGGTCGGTTTCAATCGAAAATTCACGGAGGTATAGATATGGATGAAAGTTTTTTATTCCCCAAACTATGGCCAGGCATTCCTTTTCAATCACCGCATAATGCGACTCTGCGTGGCTCACCTTCTGGCTAGCATACGCCACTGGAAATGCAACATCATCATAATATTGAAACAAGACCATTCCAAGGCCCGTTGCCGAGGCGTCCGTCTGTAGAACGAAAGTTCGCTCAAAATCGGGAAGTCGCAATACAGGGGCAATACTCAAAATATTTTTGAGCTGTTCAAATACCAGCTTATGGCAAGGCTCCCAATCGACTTTCCTAGGTTTACCCTTCTTTGTAAGTTCGTGTAGAGGTGCAGCAATGGCAGCAATGTTTGGAACAAATTTGCAATAATAACCCACTAGCCCCACAAATAACCTAGCGTTAGTTACTGTCAGGGGTCGCGGAGCATTCTGCAATGCACGAACCTTTCCTGGGACTAGAATCAATTGGCCTCCCTTACTACATGGCCAAGAAATTCAAGCTGAGTGAAACCAATATAGCATTTTGATGGTTTAGCCGTTAAGCCTGCCTTCTGGAGGCGATTCAATACATCTTTGAATCGCTTCAGATGGGATTGCCAAGTCTTGCTATATATCAAAATGTCATCCACTAAACTAACAACCTCTCCTTCAGTACCCATCAGAACCGTTCGCATAGTGCGATTGAACGTACTGGGACTATTTACAAGTCCAAATGGCAGGTAACGATATTGAAAAAAACCAAGTGGGGTAAAAAATGCAGTTTTGACTTTCGCCTCAGGAGCTAAAGGTATTTGCCAGAACTCTTTAGTAAGATCAAGTTTGGTCAGGTAATTACCATCAGCCAATTGTGCAAATAATTCCTCTGGGTTAGACATTGTCTCAGCATCGAATATTGTGATCTTATTGAGCTTTCGGAAGTCAGTACAAAACCGAAGACTTCCATCAGGCTTCTTAATAAGCACAATGGGTGAGCAATAAGGTGAATAAGACCGTTTAATGATTCCTAGTTCTATCATATCACGTACTTCTTTAATCACAGCGTTACGTGTTGCAAAAGGGGTACTGTATGGTTTAGAACGTATAGGGTCATTTGAGGTCAGTTGTATGTCATGGCACCCGATGTTCGACTTTCCTGGTATGTCTGCAAGTGTAGCAGTATATTCTCTCAATATCCCTTGTACCTCTTTAATCTGGGAATCGCTAAGTTCAGAACCCAAATGCACATCTTGAACGTTTTCTTTACCGCATTTTCTTTACTAATTATATCAAGTCCCCATTAATGTGCTCTGGACCTTCTACGCCATGGTCGTTAGTTATGACTTCAATCAAGCCAGTAGACACGCACATAGAAGTGTCCTTTGGTACAGTTGAAGAATTAGTGTGTATGTTCGTGTTTGCATTATCATCAGTAGAGTATCTTACCTCGTACTCTTCAACAGATTGACATGGTACAGTTTACCAATACCATCCTTTTCTATACGATAATCATTCCGCTCGATTCGTTCTCTAACACGATAGGGTCCTTGCCATTCCATCCGCAGCATATCATGGGTGTAGGAAGCAACTACAGTACCATCTCGCCTGTGTTGAAAGATCGGGGATTTGTACGTTTATCAAAATGGACCCAATACCGATCACTGGACTTGCTCAGTTCTGTCTGCGCCATTTTACAAGTTTCCTCCAATCGATTTCGTAGGTCAATGACGTATTCATATGTACTCTTAACTTCTGTGTTTGTGATCTTTTTTGTCCACAGCTCCCGCATGATGGTCATTGGACCCCTTACTGTTCTCCTATACAACAGTTCAAATGGGGAGAACCCCAAACTGGCTTGCGGAGCTTCGCTGTATGCAAACAATAATGGTGCTATGTAACGGACCCAGTCCTTCGGTCGCTCTCTACACATGCGTTTGAGCATGGACTTAAGAACGCCGTTAAAACGTTCACATAGGCCATTTGTTTGTGGGTGATATGGAGTCGTGATGAGCCGTTTAATTGACAGGAGTCTACTAATCTCTTGCATAACATCACCAACAAACTTACGACCTGTGTCAGTGAGAGCCTTTTCAGGTTTACCAACACGACTATAAATAGTAACCAGTGCTTCTGCTACTACTTCAGTAGAGAACATTTTTAGAGGTGTAGCTTCAGGATAACTGGTTGCATAATCAACCACTGTAGGTATATATTGGCACCCACTAGTAGTAATTGGTTGGATTGGCCCCACCAAGTCCTGCCTACCCGTTTGAATGGAATATCAATTAAGGACATGGCACTAAGTGGCAGGAGTCACATGACCGACAATACCGTTTAATGTCATCATGCATCGCTGGCCAGTAGAATTGGGAAAATATTTTATCTTGTGTTTTCTGTACACCCAAATATTCCCCCACGATGGAGTCAAGGCCTAATCTCATGACATCAGATCGAAATGTAGAAGGAACTACCAACTGACTGATAATGCGCCTAAAATCAAAATTAAGTGATCGAAATTTTCGGTACAATAGACCCTTTTTAACATGAAAACTAGTTATATTTGATTTTCCTGTCGCTACCGGTGTTTTCTCAGATGCATGCCTGAATAATCGCTTTAAACTCGAGTCATTTTGTTGTAATTCACGCAAATTGTCAGGGGTCAAGATCATGAGTCTTGAATTCAGGTACCACTAACTTCTGCGTATGCTTTTTGGTCCGAGACTGTGTTCTTGTCTCAACACCTTGTGTAACCTCAAGTATTTCCAGCCCACTAGACTGGTCATTGGCACCATCTTGCATAGTGGTCGAGAGGGTCTGTGTCACAGGGTGCTAGTTGGGTTGAGCTAAGGTTTCAAATTGTCCCAAACAAATGACACCCATAACACCCCTGTGAACTGGGTCCTTTAATAATTCGAAACTTAAGACAGTTGTATAATTTATATGCGACATAAACAACAAGTACACGCTACACGAGTAAGGCTTAAACAACGTACTTTATTCCACACACCTAAAAGATGGGCAGGAAATGCCTGACCCGTTACAAGGGGTAGTGGGGTACACGTTGTGTTGTTACACAAAAATATAACACTAGAAATATAATTCAGTAATAATATTGTAATATTTCCACACGGGAAAAGGGTAGGCAAGAAATGCCAAACCCTCTATAAAGGGGTAGTGGATTACGTTATACTATTACGGGGAAATGCCTAAATCGATAATGTAAATAATTGTCTAACATAGAATCTTGCATGCATGCATAAAACTAAGAGACAAACGTACATAACAAACAACGGACGCAAATAATATACTGGCGATCGGATACAGCCCTACAGCCCTACCTACATACAGTTTCTTCAAACTAGATGAAAACGGGTCTTTGCATGATAACGGTGTATTTTCCAGCGAGTCTCTGCTAACGGTGGCGACGACGGTAATTACAAAACGCAGTCAGAAGCACTGTAGTCGTAGAATACACGCTGCACACTCAGTCGAGCACGATACCAATCAATTACAGAGTTTATCTGTCCAATATTCGTAACTTGTAGAAGGAGAGTGGTCCGGGTGGATTCCCTTGCACCGCAGTACACCTCCGTAGCCAGTAACATAAATTAGAAGGCACATCCAGTTCAGAACCAAAATCGGGAATGTCATTCACTGGCGAGTTTCCCCACTCGTTAACTGCAGTAGGCCGGAATTGGCCAATAGAATTATCTTTATGATGCACATTCCGTAGATCACAATACATTAATTTGTATGACAATACACAGTGTATTGTTCTAACGTTACTTGCAAACGCGTGATTAGTAGACACGTAAAAAATGGTATACTGCCAGCAACGGCGAACGGACGTCCTCCAGAATAGATCACAAACTCCCATGATGCAATATTATTCAATGGCTTACTGTGGTACCTACAAGATCGGACATCCACATTTGATAACATGAACGTTCAGATCGGGTTCTATCAAAGTCCGCTTCCCTAGTGCTGACTAAAAGAAACATCTTGCCACTCTATATTTAACAATTATCTATCGCCAAAAACAACATTGCCTATCTATCGCCGTAAGACAAACACAAAACGCCACCATCACGACATACAACATAAACATGATTTAATGTTTGACATTCGTGACAGTCTGCTAGCTTACCCTCTGCCACCTGTCCCTCAGGATTGCCACCCGTGTTCACCATGTCAAAAAACAAGACTTGCACCTACATAATTGGTGCCATATTGGGCAGGGGTTAGGGAATCTCCCTCAATCCTCAGTCCACCTGTCCACCTGACTGACCCCTCGGGTCTTTGTGTTTGGACACTCATATCTGTGTCATTGGGAATTTCACCTGAATGTTTTGATTTAGTGACATTCACGTCACAAGGAATTTCACCTCCACTATAAGTACCACAATGCCGCTCACATGAAGTGTGAACATCCATTGCTCCCAGAAAACTACCTATCAGCACATCAAAGAGGGGGTTGGTCATGCATGCAACTTTGACAATTCCAGTGTAGTACGGAGTGCGGACCTCCAGCTCGGCTTCAGGGACTCGTTTCCATGTACCATCTGCTAGTACACAAGTACGATGTCTACCAGTGAACTGTGAGGGACGTACCAGGTTCTTTTGAATAACTATCCCAGAACACCCTGTATCCCTTAGTACTGTCACTTTCTGTCCATTGACCATGCCTTCAGTAGTGGGCAATTTTAGTCCCGCAACCTGTTTATCGAGTTTGTGTTCTATTACCTCTGAACATGTTTCAAATGTGTCAACAGGTTGACATGTTGAATGTGTGTTGGTGGTAGTTGCATGTGGTATAATGATGCACGTTGATGTGGCAGTGGTCGGAGAATCGAGAGAATGAGTCATTTTCTACCGCAACTCCACAAGTGGCTGTTAATAATTTGCCATCTTGCCCAATTTTGGCATGAGTCTTTCCGCTTATGCCCGACACGTGAACATCTGTGACGTGCCTCATTCCTGAGGTCAGCAAATTTTGCAACTTCACTTGAGTCTTGACACTGGTGTTCCCTCAAGAACACTAACATTTCAGGGCTACATGTGCTATAATACTGTTCACGCGAGAAAAAGTCTTTCAGTGCCTCCACAGTATTCAAAACACCTGCCATATTAACCCACTGTGTCAAGTAGTGCTCAAGTCGAACTATAAATTGCCTTGCAGTCTCAAATTTTGTCGGACGTGCCTGACGAAACTTGATACGATATCCCTCCTCTGTCAACCCATACGCCTTCAGCATAACACGCTTGACTACATCCCAGTCACGAGTCTCATCTACGGACAGTGCATCACAAACAGCCAATGTCTTCCCTGGTAATTGACCACTAAATGCCACACCCCAAATGTCTTGCTTCCACCCACAATTCTGAGCAAACATTTTCAAACCGATTTATATACATATCCATGTCATCACTGTCTTTAAAATTGGGAGGGGACTGAATTTTTGTAGCAAAGGGAGACGAATTTGTATTATTTTGCAATTCAAGTTTAGTCTTAAAATCGAGCTGAGCTAATTCAGTGGCAGCCTCTCTTTCAGCTTTTAATTTTGCAAGTTCAATTTCAGCTACTTGCTCTAGCCTTTCTTGCTCAAGTTTTATAGCTTGTGCAGCTTTTTCCCTCTCGAGTTTACCCTTTTCTTGCTCAAGTTTAACTGACTGGGCAGCCTTTTCCCTCTCGATTTTGACCACCTGTTCTAACCTTTCTTTCTCAGCTTTAGCTTTTTCTTGCTCAATTTTAGCAGCTTGTTCTATCTTTTCCCTTTCTGCTATACCTTTTTATTGCTCAATTTTAGCAGCTTGTTCTATCCTTTTTTTCAAGTCTTGCTCTCTCATATTCTCTCTTTGCCGCTCGTTCAGCTCTTTCTTTTTCAAGTATCGATGTATATAGGGCCGCCATCCAATCCTCTAACTTCTCCCCAGTTAACCCAATTTGACCCCCTTGAATTTGTAAATCGGCAACTGCCGGATTTTTATGTTTGCCATTAACATATACTTTAGCCATGTTTAGACTTTACTTAGAACGAATACTAGCACAGGGAAAATCTGAACGTGATAGATATTATACACTGTTGAGTAATTAATTAAAGTAACCAAGATATATGTAAGCGTAACCGGTTTAAAATGCATATAGTAATACCGTAGCCCACAGTAATTAACAGTATAGCGTACTGTATATTCAGTCGTACAATATCCCACTTCTGACACCAAATGTCACAAGGTCACAGGGTCAAACATTAACCAAAAATGCCAAATAGTAAGTAATACTTTTACTACCTCGTGTGCGGGTTCTTAACCAATATAACGATACACAATTCGTGTAACACAGGTAAAATTTAAACTGATGGGCTCCAGTAGAGTTCAATATGACTATATGCACATATAAGCAGCAATAATGCACACCGGCCTAATCTTACACATACGACACTACACATGAATTACGTGAAACCATGGTTTATTAGGTACACAAAACATATAATTGCTACAGTTCTCTCCGTCGGTATCGCCCGTCCTTGCAGAGGTTCAGCAATACACGCGGCATTCACCACGCACCAACGCAACTATGTTATTGGCAAAAGGTGGGGTTACGATATTTCGCACTGTAGACACCACAGCAAAGTCGGTAACGACCCTGTGACCAGGGGAGGTCACGTATATCAGTGCTCCTAAAATGTTACATAAATAAACTGGCCAGGAAAATAACAATTCTAAAAATTAACAAGATAATATAACTTAAAGCCCAAGACTAACTAGTGTGTGTGTAAGGAATGTTCGGTACCTGACGTTTCCAGACGTGCGTCGAACAGTGTCAGTCGGCAGCGTCGCCAGGTGAATTATAAGAAGCCAGCGACGGTAATTAGCGATTTGAACTCTCCTTTCTCGTCCACATCGCCAAGGCTTCCTTCCCAGTTAGACTTCAGACTGATGTTCAATGGCGGGTTCGACTATGGTTACCGTAGTATGCGGTAGTACTGCTCGCCGCTTCCAGGGTCGTACAAAGCGTACATGTCGGTCAAGATCTCAAGCAGCAACAACCGAGCACCACGCTGTCTCCGTTTTTTAAATACCCTGCCATCACATGGCTAATGGTGTCAATCGCTAATTGGTCCGCGACACCTGTTCATTCATCAAATAGATACTTGTCCAGCAGTGTCCAAGTGCGACCTTGAGGTCAAATAATAGGTACTTTCTGTACGTGTAGTGACAAATGCGGCTACCTACTGGGCTATAAAACCTACCTCTGTGCTTTTATCAATATATACTATAACAATGAATTAATAAATACAAAATTACATAAAAACAAGCGTGTTCTTTTAATAATACAGTTTCTGATATGATTCAAACACCTCGTGACAAGTGATATACAAAAAAATCAATATATGGTCATTCTTTCAAAATCACCTGATATAAACAAGACGTCGGTTTTCACTTTCACCAGTTTACAGAAACATGAAGCGTGGTATTCTGACACAAATATCAAATATTCTACGCATGCTTAACTATTGGTTGTCGTGTGATAGTAAGCTGGACTGAGATCGCAAATACAGCCACAACGTCATATTACCTGGTTTAGCGCCCTACTTACCAATATCAAAATGTATGCTATTTACTAGATTATCGCAGCAACCTCTGTTATTGACTGTACCGTAAAATACAGCCAAGTACCCTATGTTGGAAGTATTTTCGTTACGTAACGTTTTCGATTATAGATAAATATTCAAACCTCACCAACCACCTGTGCAGCTCAGCAGAAGAACTCCCCACACACGTATGACTAAACAACTGTA